AAAATGATTACAAATACTACTAAAAAGAAGTCAAATAACTAATCTAATTGGAATCTAACAGTCCGTCCATCATGTCCCTAAATGTTATACGAATATAATCAAGTTGATCAGGCTCGATACTATTAATATAACATCTAGAACGATGATGACAACACAAATATGAAGCAGGAAGAAATACTTATAATATTTCATGGCTAGGTCGAGGATACGACCTGCTCTGATACCAACTGTAACACTCATACATAATATATGTCTAGAATATTCATATCATACATGGTTGTAAATTCGGTACTGAAATACACAAGTTCCTAGTAACACATTGTACATAATATATGCCAAAATAAAACACTAAAAGTGGCATAATATATATACAAGATGTTCGAAATACAACTAAGAACTAGATCATTAAATAATAATCTCAAAACAAGAGTTTTCACAGCGAAAACCCATAAAAAAATGTGAGATAAGTAAGAACGATCAAGCTATCTTGTTCTTACCCTTCTTCGAATCGGAACTACCTGAAAATAATCAACAACATGGGTTGAGATAATAATCCTAGTTGGATCCTAATCTTATGGATTATTTCGGCTCTATAAGATTCTAATCATCTAGTACTTCAAGCCCCAAAGGAAAAAAGGGAGGAGACTTGAATTCACATAAAACTTGCATTAAATGACAACATGTTGCTTGAGTTTAATAACTCAAACTATCACTAATTGGAAACCGTACCAATGCATATTTCCCCGGCCAACCCTACGTCTAGAGTTATCAACACGGGTCACGAGTCCTTGTAGCTAGCTACTTTGGCATACCAAATAGATTTGGATTCAAGGTGTTTTCAACATGAATCGTCGCTTTCCATGAGACTCTATCCATCTCAAGCCTTTTACTCGTAGACTTCATTCATACACACAGCACTCAAACCTGTCAAAGTAATAGTGTGTACATCCCAAAGGAGCTCTACATAAGCATCGACTCTTGGGCGGCACATCTCAAGGGTTGTTTCCGACTACGTGATCAAATACACAAAGCATGATCGTATTCGACAATCACAAGGCAAACATTTTTCACCTTAATCGCAATAACATAAAACCAACACATGTTCCATATAATGCCTCACCTCACCACTAGACAACTACTTATCAAAGATACACACCTATGCATCAAATGCACAAGCATTGTCATCTAAATCTTCTATTTAATTCCTAGTCATCTTACTAAGTCATGTGATTAGTTTCCATTAAGGGTTTCTTCACATTACTTTATAGTTTTCCAACCATATTATTATCATTACAATCCATTGATCAATCATGGTAAGTATGTATATCTATCATAATAATCAATGTAAAACAATCTATGATACAAATAAACATGTGTATGGAGTAACCGAGCAAGTAAGAAAACAAACTCTCAAAATCCTGTCAGACTCGTGTGCGATGGGAAAGCGAGGTCGTTTCGCCTTGAGTTCGGTGTGCGAGCTCTGGGCGAATAAGAGGCAGAAGCAAAACGTTGCAGTGGTCGTTGTGTGAAAGCAAGGCGAGGGCTCACCTGCAGCTTGTTGCAAGCTCGTTGTGCGACTGTAGCAGAGTTGCAGATCACGTTGAGCTCGCTGGAGGGTCGTTGTGCGACCGCGTCGATTCTTGGGTAGATACCTGCATAATGATGACAGCAACAAGGGGATTTCACCCCTATCTCTACCCATGCTTATTTCCATCAAAACATCATCAAACATAGCAACATAATATCACAAACAACATGATTTACATATATTTAAGGACAATCATTGAAGTAGAAGAATCATGTACTCATAAATTTCATTTTTCTCAAAACTTAACTTTCCTACTTCTAGAATGATGGTATCTAACTAGAACCCACCTCTATAAAAATGATGATGAAGTTGTTGGTGATGAAGGTGAGATGATGAATGATGAAGACTTTCTCTTCTTCCACTTCTAAGTTTTCTTCTTCTTTCCTTTTTCTCCTATTTCTCTTTTTTCTCTCTACTTCTCTTGCTATCTTTTTTTCTTTCTTCTAATACTCCCACTTTCTTGGAATAAAGGGAAAAGAATGATACATACAAAATATTATTTAGGGTAAAGTTGGTAAAAATGGCACATGAGGCAGGAAAAGAATATTAAGTGGTCAAATATTCAATATTAGTGTTATCAAAATGTCTCAATTATACTAATTAATAAAAGGTCAGAATCAAATAATATTAATTAAATCAATATGAGTTCACTAGTTACTCTAATTATCTCAACTGATAATTCTTAGAGCACATAGAAACTCATCTGATATCAACTAATGTTATTTAGAGCACTTTAGAATAAGACAGGGTATTACAATCTTCTAGCTCAAGGTCTGTTGGATGGTGTTCACAGATTCTTGACGTGACAAAACTCGTCACCTGAGTTAATTATGCACAAGCACAAAACACACAAAATTGACAAAAGAGCGCACATAATGCGTTATATCCTAAATTAACTAAAGTAGCATAAATCATGAATAAAATACCCTAAAATTCAAGTAAAAAAGATTAAATACCTCACATAAAGTGAGTTATCAGTAGTTGACACCAGAGGTGCTCATGCTAGATTTAAGTTCTTGGAAAGCCTTTATAAAGACCACGTGCAGATGGTTGTGGATGTCGAAGGTTATGATATGCAGGTTGAGTACCACTGGCAGTGCGCATTAAGGTGTTACCTCTTGTTCCTGATTGGCATGTCCATATTTGTGGACAAAAGTGCAACCTACGTCAATGTGGTCTACCTTAAATACTTCATCAACTTAACGAAGTTTCACAAGTACAACTGAGGGGTCGTCTATTTGGTCTACATGTACTCGAAGTTGGACGAAGATTGTCTTTGGAAGACAAAGTTGCTTACGGTATGTTGCATGTTGTTTACGATAAGTTATTATTACTAATATTTTCATAACTCTTGTGTTAAAGTGGTTACTAATATTTCACCTAAACCATTTTCAAGTATGGATCATATCTCACTTTCCTCGCATATCTGGATGGGAACCTGAGCCTAACTACACTAAAGATTAAACATGTGCTTGCACCTTTATGCCGTACAGAGGGATCAGGTGATCGAGGCCTTCTAGTTGTTTCTTGACAGTAATGTAGCATATGGCATTGCCTTTGCCCATAAAACGGTCACCGACAAACGTGTCAAATGGACGTCGTTTTGTTATATTTTGGATGGCTAGCTTGTGGGATAGGTCTTATTTATGCGTATTTGTCAGAGCGAGTGTTGCGCCAGTTTGGATATTCGTAGGTTATTCTGAGACACCCCTCAGAGTCTCCTCCTCCCAGTGTCTATTGTAGAGATCCTATTGTCATACTTGAGTATCTTGATAATCATCTGGTACCATATGACTATCGCAGGGTGTCAACTCATGTACAATGGGCTTATGCAGACGACTACGTCACATGATTCTATAAAGTGTCACATCCTATCATGACACCAGACGCCCTTGAAAGACCACATAGGTCATCTAACCAGGAGATATTAAAAGGCTAAGATTAACCATACCCATGACGTGTTGATAGTCTGTCAACATATTATGGATATAGCATGATCAGACATAGAAGTTGGACTTTTTCAAGAAGACAATCCACAACTGGCCGTCGTAGAAGGTATTATTGTCCAATCACCGAGTGTTTTACAGGACAAGCAAGGGAGAAATCAAAGGATTAAACATACCCAATTATTTATGTTTGTATTATTTTTTGTATTTTCAAAACAAATTATATATGGTCAGTATAATTTAAATTTAATTTAATTAATGTAGGTATAATATATTTGAATCAATTTATGACACTCTTAAATAATTTTATGATAAAAATTGGTCTAAAATGACTTAAAATATAAGTTAGCCTAAAAAAATTCAAAGTTGGAACAATGTTGTTGCCTAAAATGTATTTAGAGGTGTTTTCGAAAATACATCTCTAAAATATTTTTTTGTCATGTGCAATAAACAAGCTTCCAATAGCTTAAAATGAATTCTGAGAAGTTTATGGAGATGCATCTCCAAATTCATCTAAAAATTTATAGATATGCATCTCTAAACCAGATTTTGGCAAAAAAGGGAATGTGTGATTAACATGTTCCCATGTTGCAACACAACCACAAATAAAATGTTCGCACGAATATACAAACAATAGACAAGTTTAATGAAGAGAAAAGACCTCTAGAGTTAAGTACAAAACCTAACAAATGTAATTCCAATGGTAAACACTTAGTTATCTCCAATAAGCAGTTCGAAAGCCTGCTATTGACCAACAAGAGACCCATGAATTCTGTCAAAATTCAACCAAACTCTTCAGTATTTCCCTAAATCTTACACATACAATCGTAGAATTCGCACATAAACTCGATCGTAACATATAGCAATACAAAGATCAAAAAACTATCACGCATTCAATTCACATGCAACAAAATGTAATAGTTTCAATAGAGTAATGTGATTCAAAACAACACATGATCGCTACTGGTTTAACTCGATAGAAAAAATGCTACTTGCAAAATTTGAGCTACAAGTGTTTTATGTATCTGGATCTAAAAATAGTCTCACTGAAGCCATGTTCTTTAGTGGAAGGCATTACATGTATATCTACCATTGAACTTATATCCTAATATGATTGCCATCAGTGGATGACAAATTAGGGTGTAGCAGAAACTATGCTCAAGTATGAACCAAACCTATCCCTGTGTTTGCTCTAAAGGGAAAAGGGAAAAGGAAAAACAGATAAAATTAATAGACCAACTTACAAACATAGATATACGACAACAAAATCTTCATGGGGAAGCTTCCAAGTCAGAAAACTATAAGCACGATTTTGCTCCGAACACTAAATTTCTCCTATCTGCAATATTTGGAGAGCTAGCTAAAACTAACAGGTTTTTGCCGCAGAGGAATCATCGTCTGAATTTTTAATCCCGGCCTACAGCGTGTTTTAAGATTTACATATCATGTAGAAAGTTAGATTTATCCTAAAAGCTCGTATTTTGTATCCTCCGTAAACAGTCTTTTCTTAAAGGTGAGTCTGCAAATATAGCTTTTATGAAATCTTCCACCTGCAATGAGGTCAAAAAAATTATTTGTAAGAAACATGAGTGAGGAGAATGCATGTGAAGAAAAGGATCATTAAATACGGTTCCAATATTTTTAGTCATACATAAAACAATCAGTGGTAATATGGCTGGATGAAACATTTATTTAAAATCAGAATTGCTCAGTTATAAAGCCGTAAGGATATGAAATAAAGTCATTGATAACCAAATGATACCTCTGTTATAGTAAAGCCACAACTGAGCAATTCTTTATTCTCCCAAGATGCTGTAATGGATTTTAAAGGCATATCTAATAATTCTGCATGAACGGATTAATTATCAATATATGAAAAAATAATAATGCAACCAGCAGTATCTGCATAAATAATTAAGAAGATGATAAAACATGCCTGATAGTTTGCGGATTTTACGTAAAGATGGAATAAGATCTTCAAGAAACTCTGCAGAGAACTCACGCAAATTCGGATCACCCGTGGCCAAGGACTCAAATAACGATGATAGGCTTTCCAGCATTAAATGGATTAGTCTTTGTAGCTGGAAATAAGAGTGAAATTTATTAGACGAACTTCTTAAATAAATGGTATTACAAGCATTAATTAGCTAAATTATTGTAAAGACTTACCTGTAAAGTCTCATCTGCAGCTATGTCATCTAGGAGAAGTATATCTCTTGAAATTCTAGAGAAAACTGATTCTAATACTGCACACATGCTTTTCTTGTAAGTTGAAGGAAGCAAAAATGGTTCCCATATGATATGCACTTTTTCCAGAATGAAAACAACCTGATCAAGGAAACTCAATTTATGTCATTTGTTAGAATAAAAAGCATTATTTACTACTTGTAACCTATTTTAGCAAATGCCCCACATTGTAGCTCGCATGCAGAAAAAGAAACATAGGAAGTAAGAGATAAAGCAAACTATGGGGTAGCATATGGCGATGTGCACAACACTATGAACAAGAAAATAACCTGGTCAATGCTGAATTTAGCCGACTCAAATTGTTGCATTTGATGAGTATTCTGAAACCCATCAGCACTTTCTATAGCCTAATAAACATAAGCGAATATGGGAATTAGCAGATTAGAAAGGCATGTGTAAACCAAAACTAAGGGATATCCTACAGCTGCTGCATGAATTTTAACAAAGGCAGTACCTCCTTCAAGTTATAAATAACAAGGTGAACTTGTCTCTGCAATATTTCTTCTGCCAAAAGCTGAAATCTTGGAGCCAAATCAGCAAACATAGCATGCTCCTTCATCGAACTAGGAAAATCTGCTCGATACTGAGGTAGTAATATAGCATCAAAATGAATGAGGCAAGGAACAAAAAACTATATATAAAATAAATATGGTTGATATTGAATATTTGCCTTGATTTTCCATTTGATAGACTAAAAAATAAAATTGAGATTTGAGCAACATAACATTGAATAATCCATACTAAAGATGACATCAAGTAGAAGAAAAAACATTATTTTGTTGAAAAATAGTAATTTAGTCAAATATTGTGAATTCATTCATGCTTAGTTATTCATGTATACCTCAAATGCAAATCCAAGTATCTCCTGGGAAAGATAAAGGCAGTCATTATGCATCAGAACAGCAACTTGATTGAAGCTACCAAGCTGCCTTTCTAGCTTCACAAACCAAAAACAGAAGTAATTACTTAAGCTGAATGCATGCACATAGACAAGAACAAACACTCAAAGACAGTATTCACTAAGGCTCTGTTTGCAGATTTCAGGGAGAGGGCTTTAGGTAAAAGGAAAGTGGAAGAACTGACATTGATTTTAAGGATAAGCTCTCCAAATACTTACCAAATATCATTAATATTTCATCTCTCATCCAAAGATCAGATAAAGTATAAAAAAACAGCAAATAAAAAAAAAAGTGTGATTCTAGAATTACTAACATTGATTTTAACAATAAGCTTGCATTACTTCATTATATTCACACTCACCCCTTGAAGTCAATCCCCGATGAAAGAAATACTAAAAAAAGTTTTTCCATATCACGGCCTTACTAACCTTGACAGGGACTACCACTTCATAAAGAAGTATAGCATCTCTAGCAGCATTATAAAACTCCAAAGCAACTTTTGTAGATGACAGGCAGACATCCTACACAAATTATTTATCATTTATAAAGATCAGCTTCACTGTTAACAAAAAAAGTATTGTAGGTCTACCAAAACATTATACTTGTACGTGTAGCAAATTAGTGGCCAATTTATTTGCTTAGTTGTCCAGATAGTTGGTAAACGTAATAAGTAATAACATATGTTGATCATGCACACTAACAAAATCCACTTGAGCCTATAAAGTCTTGCTCCCTAAATAAAGAAGAATTTGAGCTTGTATTTCAAATAAAATATGTTGTATGATGCAGTCATTTGGTAAAAATTCATTATTCTGAATCGTATACCTGCAGTGTCTGATGAATTAGTTCCATCAATTGTTTGGCTGCTTTGGACACCAAACACCTCTCTGATGAGAAAAGCAAATCAACCACATGGCTGGATGAAAGATCAGAAGTTTCATCATTCTTCCAAATATACCCATCCCTTGTATACTCCTGCAGCAAATTCTTCATCAATAATTACAAATACTAACAGCAACAGAAGAATTTTCCCAGTTCGAAAACTCACTTGAGGAATGGAAAAGTCACATTCATGGAGCAGATTTCTAGCTTTAGCCAAAATTTCTGTCTTTTTCTTAAATGCAAAGTGAACCTCAACATTTTCAGCAAAATTGCTCAGCCTGTTATCCTTGTCATCTGATGAAATGAACATAAGCTCTTTCAAAGCTGTTTCAAAGTCAGATGTACATTTGATAATCTTCTGAAAGTCAGGTAGTTTTGAAGCATCGGTTGGAACAACCTGAAATAAGACCTCTTGAGTGACTATACATGCAAACTAAAGAAACTCAGTTTCTTTCTGGTTTCTAGACAGGGTAACTAACCACCAAGTAATTATCCTAGATTATCACATTGTCAGGGTTGAATACTCCGACAAGAACTTATTTGATAGTTGAGATTAAAGAATTCATACAAGCTTGCATAATAAGTTACGGCAGACTTTAATTCAATTCAACTGATATCAGTAAAATGATATTTTTGTGGATACATAATCTTAGACTTGTTTCAAAGCACCGGATGCAATGCATGGACACGGCTTTGTGTAACCAAGTTTGTTATAGCATAGAACTTAAGGCAAACCTTTGAAAGAAAGCTTGATATTATTAGCTCTGATATCCTAGGCCATGTCAAACGTCCAAAACTTCGGATCCAAGAACTGTTTTTGAAGCAAATACTTCTATAAATAAATTTAATAAAAAGCACAATCCCTGAATAGAGAAGCTCCCCGTCCAAATACTCGAGCTGCAAATCAAAAATCACATATTTAGGAACAAAAAATAGCAAAATGATGATGCTTCCTAGGTGAATTAAGAAAAAAAACAACTGACAGTAGAATCTAAAAATAGGGTTTGGCTCTTTAAAGTGCAAGGTTCACTTTAAAGGGTAAAGTGTAGAGTTATAAACCTAATCAAAGGTTGATATAGTAATAAAATACATGCATCTATACAACAAATAATGAAACTATTATAATTTAAATATTAATTTTGCAAGCAATATTCATAACTTTGTACTTTTTAGAGAAGCCAAAACCCTAAGAATAAGATCAATAACACATACGAGCAATAAAAACCTACTCTGGATGGTCTGTGTCATAAAACAGTAAAACATGACAATATAAATTTATTATAAGACCCTAACTCATAACAATCACCTTACTATCTGGCGTTGGAACTATCTTCAGTACGGCTGAATTTTGATTTGACTCATCTAGAAATGAAAGAGGTTGTCCACGATTAATGAAAGGAATGATGACATATTTGATCATTAAATCAGCAACTTTAGCAAGCCCATACTCTAGAATACCAACCACCTAAAAAGTCATCTATTAGAGACAGTCAAAATAGAAACATCTGAAATCCTGATTATCTATATTTACAACATCACAGTTGTAAAATTGAGATGAATTAACTTACCTCCATTGCTTCCAAAACCATTTGCAACTGAATCCCACTCAAATTCTGAACTTCTAAATGATACTTGACTTCTACTTGATTCAAGTCACCATCAAATCGCACAGCCTTATCCATAAACTTCACGAGGACCTCTTGAATCTACAAACCGAAATCGAATTCCTCTAAAAACAATCACAAACTCAATAAAAATCACAAATCATCCAATCATCATTTCTATGGCATAAATCATATGTACTGATTATACTTTTACACATATCAGCAAAAATGCAATTAAAGAAAATATGGGCTAATAGTCTTTAAAAAAACATCATGCCATGAGCTCACTGCACATTTAATTATTGTATAACTACTGTCATTAAAATGCTTGGGGAATGCTTGTCCAGATAAACTGGATTTCTTTGGGATTCAGTCCATGGGTTACACTTGGTGAAATTCCACTCCCAACTTTCAATTCAAATATTCCTTTTTGTTATTTTTTAAATAAACTGGGTATGTTGCAAATGGTTGGTAGATGTTGAGGTCTCAACCTAGTTAAGACCTTATCTCCAATAATGATGCCTTTGCATACATCTTTTTTACTTTAAAATGAATACCCGTCTATCCGCTTTTTTAATGCGCATCGATGAAATATAAACGATATTTTTTATTTAATTATAATTTTCTAAAAATACAGTACGTGGAAGTTAATAATAGTGGTTTCAATGGAAGTTACTACCTCCGTTCTTTTTTATAAGAGACAACTCACTTTTTAGGTTCATTGAATAATCGATGTATTTGGTTAGTTTATAGACTAGAACATTGATTATTCAATGAACCTAAAAAGTAAGTTGTCTCTTATAAAAAGGAATGGATGTAGTATTAAGTAAATTATACACTAAAGTAAGGATAAAAATGGTGGAAAAATAGGCTACACCAAATCAAAGTATTCCCTTTATATATTGTTATAGATAATTGAATGAATTTAAGCCAAACAAAAAGATTCGAAAGAGTTTCAGGACCAACAGTAAAGAGAAAGTTCAGCAATCTAAACATGAAAATGAAATAACAGTATTCTAGGGGTATGAGAATGTTGTTTTTCAGATGATTCGATGCTTAGCATATGGCCGTGGAACAGACAGGAAATGAAAAGTGAAATCCTGAGCCAACAATCTTCTTTTTGCTCATTGTATACTCATGCATCAATCCTGAATTCAATTCCTTACATTTAAGAAATGCTCAACATCTCCCTAAACCATTCCAATGTATAATCCCAGTCACATATTTTTTAACACCAACTATAAACTCAAACATACAAATAATCACCAATATCAATTTCAGTTGCAGCTTTTACATTCAGCATCAGAAAGGCATCAATTCAGTTTCTACATACATTGCTATGAAACTTCAAACCAAGTCCATTAAAACATAAAATTACAACAGAAAAATGGAGAGAAAAATAGAAAGAAAGAATAGTAATACCTCTTCAAAACACTGAGACCATTCCTTCCTCAACAACCCGTACACCAATGGCTCCCTATCATCTTCATCCCCAATCCTCAATGCAACCTTCAACTCCTTCAACCATTGAGCAGCAAACTGAAACTTCCCATTCTTCAACGCTTCCTTAACACTCTCCAATCTCTTATTCAAATTCACAATTATTCCCACCAAACCTAACAACTCTCTCTTCACCTTCAGTTCCTCGCTTTTCGATTTCATCTCCTCCACAACTTCTCGCACCTCCACGTCAGCCGGGCGCTCGGAAACCAGCCGCAGGACGCCGGCAAGGTCATCGGAGACCTGAAGTGTCTGCGAAACGGCGTCGTTGCAGAGAGAGAAGAGGCTTGCGAAGTCATCGTGGTGAGAAGCGAGGTAGGATTGTACCTGTGATCGGATCTGGAGAGAGTGAGACTCGACACGGTCGATGAGGAGGCGGAGATCCGGTGCCGAGAGAGGGGAACTTCGGTCGGAGAGATCTTGTGCAGAGAGAAGATCGCGAATGTTGATTGCGTCGAAGAGAGACTCCATCACAAGGTGGTGGAGATGGCTAACGTGCGCTTGGAGTGTCGTCCACACTGATGCAGTGTGGTGGTTATTGTTTGGACTCGATGGACTTTTTCAGTTTTAGATCTTATTGTGATCCGACACAACCCGGCCCGGATAAAAAACTCCAAATCTTAAGTACATTTTGTCATGGGTAAAAGTACTATAGTGGGACATTCTCAATCCACCTATTTATATTTAAAGATTTTCCAAAAACACTATATTTGTCTTGTTCAAAAAATTATTAGGAAGCTTTTTTTTTTTTTTTGAATAAAAGAATAGATATATTCAAATAATTAAACAAAGTACATGGTGATCGGAAGGATCCAGCCAACAACAAAGACAAAATCAAAAAGAAAAACAAAGCAATATCTAAGCTTACATTAACATATGAGCTATGTGGCTTCTAATCTTTGGTTGCATCCACCTTCTATAAACTATATTATTTATTATGTTTCTAGTTATATGTGTACTATCAGTATTCTTAGCAAAGTATATATTATTCATATGCTGTCATATGCCATAAACAATATTTGCAATAGCAATCTTTAGTAATCTACCTTTCTAGTCTTGCCTTTGAAGTGTCTCAAGATCCAGTTTAACTCATTAAACCACAACTAAGGTTTATGATTAAAATCCATCCACTGCAAAAGATCAGGCCAAATACTATTAGCGATACTACACTCAAGAAGGAGATGATCAAGTATTTCCTCTTTATCACTACACAGTTGACATTGGCTCGATTGTAACATTCTCATCTTCTGCAGCCTAGCTTTGGTAGCCAGACGACCATGGCAAGCTAGCCAAAAGGTGAGGATAGCCCTGGGTCGAGCACCATTGTGCCTCATCAAGTGACTTCAGTTAACTCTAGCTTGGTCATCAATAAGAGCTTTGCACACTACCATCATAGAAAACTTTTTCTTCAACAAAAAATCATCCCAAACCTGTTGCATATGACTGATCATATTTCTTCCATTCAAGATATTTTTCATGATCTATGAACTATTATTCCTTATGTTAGCAGTCAGCACATCATTGCCTTTAAGATAGTGACTATGGACCCATTTAATCCACATATTATTAGACTTTAAGCAGATATTCCACAAACACTTTAGTATTGCCACGGTGTTTCAGACTTCAAGATCAATCAAGTTCAGGCCACCTTGAATCACAGGGCTACAAGTTTTCTTCCAAGCCACATGGCTCTTCTTACTAACCTCATAACTACCAGACCAGATAAAGGATCGACAAATTGAGTTAATTTTCTTGATCACCATTTTTGGAACGGGGAAGCAATGCATCCAATACTGCACAATTGCTAGAGAAATGCTTTTAGTCAATTGAATCCTACTTGATATGTTTAAAAGCTTGGTAGTCCAATGTTTGATTCTACTCACAACCCTATCCACCATGGGCAAGTAGTGGCTAATATTAAGCTTCTTACAAGACAGGGGGACTCCCAGATATATAACAGGTAATTGACCTTCCTCGAAACCTATTAAATTAATAAGGCCAGCTTTTGTAACATTATCCAACACACCATAGAAATTCTTACATTTAGCAGGATTAACACTAAGCCATATGTGTCGCATCGCTGCGAAAAGGGGCCGGCAAGGACAGAAGAGTCGCCACCGTTTGTTATTTATCCTAAAGAGAGGGAAAGGAAACGATCAGAGAAAACCTACGGAAAAGGGAAAAGACAGGTCATCGCAACCAAATCTTGGGTTCAGGAGTCGGTTACGCAAGGGGAAGGTATTAGCACCCCTCACGCCCGTCGTACTCGACGGGATCCATGTTGGTTATCTATCTACAAGGTGTTAATCTATCTAAGCTAAAGGCCACAGGGGCAAAAGAAAAGAAAAGAGACTCGATAGAGCATCGCCGCTCTATGCCTACGTATTCCCTCGTGCAATGGGAAAGTCAGAGTCAACGTAGTTCGGAAAACTACGGGTGAAAGGTGGGGAAGGTTGCTCGCCAAGACATCGCCGTCTTGTGCCTACGTATCCTCGTCTAGTACGAGAAATCAGAGCAAACGTAGTTCGGGCTAACACGACCACAGATTGGTTCAAATGTTTTACCCGAGTAGGGTTAAACCTTAGTTCTAGCAGTTAGGGACGATGCCTGTTTGCGGTAGAACCAAGAGTTAACAACACTCTCTTTGAAAATGGTTTTCAATTAATCCCGGAGGATAAAAAGGTTTAATGTTTGTTTTTTAGTCTTTTATGAAGAAGTGAATTGAATTGTGTTTGTAATTCATGTTGCACTAAAGACTATGACTTAGGAGCGAATGTGTCGCATATCGCCCAAAGGGCATACGCTAAACACTCTAGACAATTGAGAGGAGCCCCCCAATCATCATTTCCCAAATGCTTAAGGCTCGTAGCATACAACACTCATTATCCTTTATTAGATGTTTTGAAGAAGTTTTGAGATGAGAAGAGAGAAGACACAACTAAGGGGAAACTAACTCAACCCTAATGTTATCATGCAATGTGCTCCTATGATTGAGGTTAAGAGGGAAAAATATACCCTAATGTTAGCATATGCTTGGATTGAACACTTAATGTCTCTCCTATTCCCAAAAGGGACTAGGAATCCTAAGGGAACATGGCAAAGGAACCAAGAAAACACAAGATGAATCAATCGCAAATGAGATGAAAGAAAGAGATGCAAACATGAAATGTAACACAAAGAAAAGAGGGAGGAAAAAAAGTGTGGGGCAGCAACCACCACAAGCACATCTCAACCTCTTAAATGCAAACAAAGAGATGCAAAACAAAATGCAAGCAAAAAGATGAACACTCATCACTTTGAGCAACAATTACAAAAGTATGCATTCAAGTGGAAATCGAACACGTGTGTCGAAGAAATCATGATTAAACAATCAAGAACAACAACACAATATCCAAAACATCTCACTCAAATGCATCATACTGATCCATGAAGATTCAAAGTGAAATGACACCAAAACAACCTTGAAGAACAGCAAAATAGGCTTGTTAGTACAATGTTAATCGGTTAACACATATGGTTAACTGATTAACCAGTTAAAAATGTTTGAAAATTTGAAAATTCACACTGGTTAATCAATTAACCAGTTTGCACTGCAACTGGTTAACCGATTAACACTGTACCAGAGGCAGAAAACAGCAGCTCAAAAGCACTTCCAGCAAATAATCATTTATCCAATAATCCAGATGATCACATAATCAAATATGCACGAAATTAACACCAGAAAACAGTGATCTCATCAACATGTAAACACATTAAAACAGCAAGATCACAAATCACATGGATCAAATCAACCAAAAGCCAATTAAAAATGAAGATCAACATCGAATATGCAAAATAAGCTCAAAATAGCAACTGGTCTAGAATTTCCAACCTACAAAGTGGAGATTTGCTTTGGTAATTGTTGATTCAACTTCAATTGAGCAGATCCAAGCTAGAAATCTGGAATTCCATCAAGATCCAAGTGAGTTCTTATAGTAGAAATGAAGATAAGTTCCTCTAGATCAACTTCAAAATTCAGATCCACAAATAGCACGAAAATTGGATGGAGAATTGGAGATAATATGGATGAAGGATGAAGGTTTTAGCTCTAGAATTCAATGGTTCCAATGGAGAATCAAAGAATTCAAGATGAGAGCTCTAATGGAGTTTGGGAGATGGAAAAGATTGAGAGCAAAATTCAAGAGTGTGAATGAATTCTGAAAATGAAATGGAGTTATGAGGATTGTCTGTGAGGTTTGGAGCAAATCATTTAAATATGCTCTAGGTTAGGAGTAGAATGGTGGTTTAGAGTGTGGTTATGAAAATTGGAATGGGTTTAGGAGTGGAAAATTGGAGGGAATTTGAATTAATTTGAAAACTAATCAAAATTCAAAGTGGTTCTAGATCCTTCCTCTGGTGTAAAATCAATTTCTCATGTGATCAAAATGGACCCCAAAGTGAATTCTATTGAAAATTCACGTGCAAAGCAGAAAATTGTTTGGTTAATCGATTAACACCCTCAAAAATTCAAACTTGACCTGATTTTGCATTGGTTAATCGGTTAACACCTTAAAATTTTGAATTTTGGCGCCTTCTGAAGGGAAATCTGCACATTTGCCCGTTTTCATTCGTTCTAAGCCCTGTTCAGCCTCTGAAACTTGCTATTGAATACTACAACCATAAGAATGCTTGAGATATCCTGAATGCTGCCTCTTGAGCTGAAAATAACATGCAAAATAAAATAAAATCGACCGCTCGATCGCCGGGCAAAATAAATGGCGGAGCTTCTGATGCTCGCTGTTTGAACTCTTGCACTAAAAGAGAACTCTGAGCCACAGGAAAACCTTGATCCCCTGCCTCGAGAACAAATGCTATGATATGCATAAATGCAAAAATGCAAAGAAAACATAAGCCAAGAAAAGAAAAGGGTTGGTCAAATTTTAAGGTACAACACTATGGAATCTGAGAAAGATTTGAAAGTTATTAAAATCATGTAAATGGATTTGTGATCTCCTCTACTAAACAACAACATATAATCAGTAAAAGAAAGATGAGTTATAGCATGTTTCTCACATTTAGCATGGTGATTGAAGTTTAGATCCTTGTGCATCTTTATCATGGTTCTGTTCATGTACTCCATCATGATAACAAAAAGCAAAGGGGATATATAATCCCATTGCCTTATGCTTCTCCTAGCTTGCAGCACTTTTGAGAACTCACCATTAATGTTAAATCTATAACTGACAATTGTGATAATAATCATGATCCAATCAATGAACTTCTTTGGCAACCCAATTTCCTACATCACACACTCAAGAGCTTTCCGGTCAACCATGTCATAGGCTTTTTTCAAGTCAATTTTCATCATACACCTAAGAGTCCCCCTCTTCCTAGTATAATATTTCATCAACTCAGAAGCTAACATGATGTGGTTTTAGATCACTTGGCCTGGAACAAAAGTTGCTTGGCTTTTATGAATGACTTCATGAAGC